CTGGCTAAATGTTTTTCAACTTTATTGACTGTTATAAAGAAGCACTTTTAGTTTTAATTATTTTTCTCTATTGATACCCTGATATTTCTAATTTTTTTTTTTTTAAATTTTGCCTCTATAGGATGCATGTGCCTGCCAGAGAGAGACGAAGAAAGTAAAAAAATACTCCACATGAAGGATGGTCAGGCCACAATCCCTTCTCCATTTCTCCTTTCAGGATTTTAGGCACACATGCTTGGTGTGTTTTTACGTGTCGCCAGATCCAGAACTCAAACCACACAGTTGGCCAGATGGGATCCAGCCACCTTAACCACCACAGTTAACTCTGGTTTCAGTTTTATTGATTTTTTGGTATGATTTTTTTCCTTCTGCTTGCTTTAGGCTTATACTGTTTTTGTTTCCTAAAGTGGATGCTTAGATGATTGATTTTAAATCTTTCTTCTCTTCTAATATACTACAAATATTACTATAAATTTACCTATAAGCACTGATTTTTCTCCATCCCACAAATTTTTCTCTTTTTTGGGAGGGGGGAAGAGAGGTATTCTTTTGATATCAGAGAGAGGCAGAAAGTGAGAAATCACCCCCCCTTGGGGGGGGGATGTCCACACTGCAGTCCCTTCTCCATTCTGCTCTTAGTATCTTGGGCACACACAGACACATGCCTGATGTGAGTTTACGCCACCAGGACCAGGACTGGAACGGCTGTCAACTACGTGGGAGTCCAGCAACGTAACCATTACTCCATCTGCTGGTCCCTTCATCCCACAGATTTTAAGTTGTATTTCCATTTAGTCAAATATTTAAAAAATTATTTAAATCCCTTGAGTTATTTATAAATGTCTTATCTCTAGACATTTTGTGAATTTTTTCCAGCTATTTTTCTGGAATAGTTTCTAGCTTAATTCCATTGTCTTTTGAAAGCATAAGTTAAAGTGCAATTTATGGCTTATGATGTGGTCTGTGTTAGTCAGTGTTATATGTGAACTTGAGAAGAACATGTGTTCTATTGTTGGATCAAGTGTTTCTCAAAAGTCAATTACTTAGAATTAGTTGATAGTGCTATTCAGTTCAACTATGTCCTTATTGATTGCTAGCCTTCTGGACCTGCCAGTTACTGAGAGAGGATGTTGAAATCTCCAACTATAATATTGGTTTTGTCTGCGGCAGTGCCTGGAGGCCACGTGAAGAGCTTGAGCTTATTGCCTGGCGTCAGCTGCTGAAGGAAGAGACCAGGATGAATGCACAGGCATGAAACTCTGAGTAAAATTAATATACTATAAAGCAACACGGAGAAGAAGGTTCCACATGGCTACTGTGAACTAGATTTTTAAGGGAATGAAGACTTTCTACTAATAATTCAGCCTCCAACAAAAGAGCTAGCGCAAGCACAATAGAACAGCAAAGAGATTCTGGATCACCTCTGTCTGCTTGCTCCTTAACATTAAGGCTGAACCTCCAGAATTTGAAAGAAAACACAACATTCATCAGATGACAAGAAATCACCGCCGGATCACAAGAAATATGGGAAAACAAGAAAATACCTCTCCCCAAGGGAAAAGAGTAACTCTTCTTTACCCACAAGCAGTTCAGTGAAAATCATAGAAATGTCTGATAAGGAATTTAGAGCATTCATAATGTCAAAGCTAACAGAGATGGAAGAGAAGGGAGATAATGAACTGCTAAAGAGAAAGGAGAAAGAAGCTGACGAGTTCCAGGAGATGAGGAAATTCTTGCAAGATCTGTCTAAAAGAGGAATTACACACTTTACAAAAGACTCAAACGGAACTGCTAGAGATGAAGTCTATAATACAAGAAGTCAAAATCTCCCTTGAAAGTATTAAAAGCAGACTAGATCATTCAGAAAATAGAATCTCAGATGCAGAAGAGAAAATGGCTGGCCTAGAAAAATCCACCACGAAGACTGAGAAAATGGTACAAAAATTTGAGAATAATATGCGAGAAGTACTGGATACCATCAAACATCCAAATATCCGGATAATTGGCATTCCAGAAGGTGAGGAAACCCATAAGGGCATTGATAATCTATTCCATGAAATCCTGCAAGAAAACTTTCCAAACCTAGAGAGGCATTCAAAGATCCAGTCCCAGGAAATACAACGGACCCCAAATAGAATCAACCCTAGAAGATCTTCTCCAAGACACATTATAGCCAGGTTGACCAAAACTGCAGACAAAGACAAGATACTAAGATTAGCAAGAGAAAAACATCAAGTTACCTACAAAGGACATCCCATCAGGCTAACAGCAGATCTCTCATCAGAAACAATAAAAGCGAGGAGAGAATGGGAAAATATATTCCAAGTGTTAAGAGAGAAGCAGTTTCAGCCAAGAATACTGTATCCGGCAAGATTATCTTTCAGGTGGGAAGAAAAGACAAGAACATTCTCAGATAAACAAAACCTGAAAGAATTTACCAGCACCAGACCAGACCTCCAAGAAGTTCTCAAGGATGTGCTGTATCAGGAAAACTAAACGCAGATACATGGAAATAAGAGTCCAAAAACTGAGAAAGTAGCTAACTTAATCATAGGGACAAGTCTGGAGTTGAATACTATATCCCAGAATTTAATCAGGAAAATTGAACCAGAACAGAAGATAAAAGTATATGAGACTGATAGGTTCATGCACCTACCATTTGAACAGAATCCTAACCTGTTTCCGGGCTTTAAGCAAAGTTCCTTGGCGGTTCTTTGATTTAAGTTAAAACTGGTTTTCTTAGTAGTAACGAGGGAACTCACCTTTGAAAGTAGTCAGGTTATGTAGGAAATTGTGTGATCAATGCAATGTGGGTGGGAAGGGAATGGAGGACAATTTTGGACACTAGAGGTGGTGTGAGAGGAGGGTGGGAAGGGACAGAGGGTCAGAAAGAGGGGTGGAATTAATTCTAGCAACTAGAAGTGGAAATTTATATTTTTTGTAATGTGCATGATTGAGTCACTATGCAGTGTGTACTGGATGGGAGATCGCATTTTGTGTGCTGTGATGATGCCTAGAGAAGGAATGTAAATTGAGTTACAAAAAAGAGTTTCAGGAAAACAAAATATATCTATTCAATGACTGCAGTAGGATATGTAGCCCCAGTTAGGTGCTACTTGATAGGATGCGTAAAGTTAGACTTGTGCTCATGGAAATGTGTCACATGTGTTTGCTAGGAGGGTATTTGGATTGATGAGGGTCTTTGGTGATTCAATAAAATGTGGGGGGAAAATGGTATAGAAAGCAAACATAGATAACAGAGAAAGTGTGGGAGGAGAACAGGAGGTGGCAGAGGGTAAGAGAGAGGGAACCAAGGATAGGGGGAAAAAAGCAAAACATACAGAAAACAAGAAATGGAAGATCACTTGCTAATAATAACATGTTTGTTGATATGCTTGATAGAGACAATATACAGTGTACTCTGGATGGAAAAAAAAAAAGAAATGGAAAAATTGTTTGTTGATAACACATATGTTGATGTACTTGATTGAGCCAACAGACAATGTATTTTGGATGAAAACTTCATTGGACACTGGAGGTGGTGTGAGATGAGGGTAGGAAGGGACAGAGGGTCAGGGGTGGAAGTAATTCTAGGAACTAGAAATGGAAAATTTTTTATAATGTGCATGATTGAGTCACTCTGCAGTGTGTACCGGATGGGAGATCGCATTTTGTGTGTTATGATGATGCTTAGGGAAGGAATGTAAATTGAGTTACAAAAAAAAGTTTCAGAAAAAAAAAATATATCTATTCAATGACTGCAGTAGGATATGTAGCCCCAGCTAGGTGCTACTTTATAGGATGCGTAAAGTTAGACTTGTGTTCATGGAAATGTGTGTGTCACCTGTGTTTACTATGAGGGTATTTGGATTGATTAGGGTCTTTAGTGATTCAATAAAATGTGGGGGAAAAACGATATAGGAAGCAAACATAGATACCAGAGACAGTGTGGGAGGAGAGTGGGAGATGGCAGAGGGTAAGAGATAGGGAATCAAGGATGGGGGGGGAGCAAAACATACAGAAAACAAGAAATGGAAGATCATTTGCTGACAATAACATGTTTGTTGATGTGCTTGATTGAGACAATATACAGTGTACTCTGGATGGAAAATCTCATTTTGTATGCTGTAATGATGTACAATGAATGGATGCAAATAAATAAATTGAAATTTTAAAAAAAGGCAAAAAAAAAATGGTTTTGTCTGTTGTTAGAAGACAGGGTCAATGTATAGTGACCCCCCAAACTGAAGAGTAACTTTAAGAGAAATAAAAACAAAAAACGAAAAAAAACAAGCAACTCCTTGTATCACTTAGCAGGAGCTTATTAGAGGATAATTTACAGACAGGAATGGTCAGGTAGATAGTAATCCAGAAGCATTCACAGCTATCCTTTGTAGCTCCTTGAAGCAAATTGGAGTTTTTGGTTTGTTTGTTTTGTGTGGTTGGTATAGGGTAGGTGTGCCATTGTCTGAGAAAGAGACAAAGCAAGAAATCACCCCCCCCCAAGGGTATGGCCACTACACATTTCCCCCAGATGATTTCTTGCTGTCTCATGCACATGTGCCATATAGCAAAAATCACTCACTCTCTCAAAAGGTAAGAGAGAAGTAACTATTAGTCTTTTATTGAAGAAATAAACTCAAAAAAGTTACAGAACGTCCTAAATTGTCTTAAGTAAAAGGCCCAGCATTTGAACTGCCCTGTGTTTCTGTCTACTCTACTGGGCTTCTCAGTGAAGGTATAGTTTTAGAAAGATTTATTTCATTAATATCTGTAAGGCATAAATTTAGGTGACAGTGACAGGAATAGAAAAGGGGAAAACTTAATAAAATTGAAATTAATGATCTTTTCAGCAGTTTTCTAGCCTTAACATGATTTTTTGTGCTTTTTCACCCTTCAAGGTTTAGGGGAGAAAATGAAATCTTTACATCATATAATCTATGTTCTATAAATATTTTATTTTTAGAACTTATGTTTTTCTCTTCTGTGCTCTCCTGTAGGTTTTAGATGGAGCAGGATTAGATATCGATTTCCATCTTGCCTCTCCAGAAGGCAAAATATTAGTTTTTGAACAAAGAAAATCAGATGGAGTTCACACGTAAGTAATCTCTGAGTTCTTTTGGGAATAATACTGCTGGTGGTCTACGTGGGATCTTCAGAAAGTTCATGGACAATGTATACTATGAAAAACCTACGCATAGATTTTAAAATTTTTTTGGTACCAAAATAAATTTGCACTTTAATTTCACTTTCCATAGACTTTTTGAAGTATCCGTGTGTCTGCAGGGCAAGGGAGTTTAGGATATTCAGTACTAAATATCAGTATATATAATTCCAGTATTTTCAGTCTTTATAGTGGGTCATTATACAAACTGAAGTAACATCCATTAACATTTTTCTTTTTGTCTAGGCATTATCATTTTTATTCTGTCTAAATTTTTTTTTCCTTTGGTTGGGTACATGAGTATTTTGCCTACATATTTTATTCAATCTGTTGTGGCTTTTTTTTTTTTTTTTTTTCTTTTTTGAGAGACATCTACAGGGCATGTATGCTTGTCAGAGAGACAGAAAGTGAGAAATCATCCCCAGGTGGGATAGCCATGCTGCAGTCCCCTCTCCTCTATTCTCATGGGATTTTGAGCATGCAAGCACTTGCACCTGGCATGAGTTTCAAGCGGCGGGGACTCAAACCACAGTTGGCCATGTGAGAGTCTAGCACTTTAACCATTATACCACCTGCTGACCCCTCTATTATGGCATTTTAAACCTACCTTTCTGAGTAGTAGAGGCATTCCATTTTAACTGAAACCTACTATCCAAGTGTGTGCTTCAAAATTTCTTGAGCTGCTGGCTATATCATCTTTGTCCATAGTTTTTTTTCTTCTTTTAAACAATAATATAATACCCCTGATGCTGTGTGTAAAATTTTTTTCTTTATTTAGACCTTACTTACACTTTTGAGGTAACTAGATAAAAGTAAAAGAGCACATCATTGGAAACCAAATTAAAAAAAAATACTTGCCACAATTCTAAATTCAGAGTTTAGCAAAAAGCCATATATTCTCTTCTTACATCTCACCTCTCACAACAGCACTACTGTAAGTGGGCCAGTCATTAGTCTGGAACTTTCATTATTTTTTTTTAAGAAGTATTTAATTTTATTTATTATTATTGTTTTTTCATTCGAATAGAGAGAGAAAGTGAGAAAGCAAGCTGCCAGGTTCAGAACTTGAACCCTAGTTAGCCATGTGCCTAGTCAGCCATGTGGGAGTCCAGTGCCTTCACCACCACGCAACCTGCTGGCCCCTCATCATATTTTTGCATTAACATCTTGATTTTTACAATTGATAAAAGTATAAATTTAACTAAAATATCTAAAGTTATTCTAGAAATACTATATAAGAGGAAGAGTTTAACATAAATTGAAGATTAGATGGTGAATATAGTTACTCCTGCCATGAATTACACATAATATGCACCCATACTAGTGAATGTAGAAGAGACACTCATTACATAGTTACTTGAAATAAAAGTAAAGGGAAATATGTACAAAAGAAGATTTTATTGTTCCTGATAAATAATCAAGAGGCCACCTAATTCTGTTAAATCCTATTAACTTAATGATGTGAAATATTTAATTTTATGTCAGCTATGTGATTCTAAGTTTATTTGATGAAGTAAATGATAAAATATACTTTCCCACACATCACAGAATGTATTATACAACACTAAGAGTGAAACATAATGTAAACTGTGGACCTTGGATGATTATATATCAATGTAACAAATCAACTATAACAATTACACCCCTCTGTGGAGAACATTGATAATGGGGGAGGCTATATGTGTGGCGGATAGAGAATATATGGGAAATTGCTATAAAGGGGACTTCAAAAATTAATGGAAAAATAAAACTAAAGTATGAGGCTTTTTTTGTTTTGTTTTGTTTTTGTTTTTGTTTTTAGAAGTTTTTGCTACAGGGTGCATGCACTTGCCAGACAGAAAGCAAGAAATCACCACAGGGGGGTTGGCCACGCCACAACAACCCCTTCTCTTCCAGTATCCTCTCGGGATCTTGGGCACGCACGCACACGCACCCGGCGTGAGTTTTAAGCCACCAGGTCCAGAACGCAAACCGTGGTCAACTGCGTGGGAGTCCAGCAACATAGCCATTATGCTAACTGCTGGTCCCGAGTATGAGGCTTTTTAAGATTTATTTTTATTTAATTTATTAAGTTTCCTATAAGGCACGTGTGTTCACCAGAGAAAGAAAGGGTTAGGGAGGGAAAGTGAGTGAGAAAGCAAGCCACCAGTTCTAGGACTCAAACCATAGTTGGCCATATGAGAGTCTAGCATCTTACCCACCATACCACCTGCTGGCCCATGTATGCAGTTTTTATATTGATGCAAAATCTTTAAAATCTACATATAGTGGTTTTTGTTTTTTGTTTTTTTCATAGTATGCATTTTCCAGGAACTTTTTGAAGACCACTTCTTATCTTTCTCTTTATTTTTCTGTGAACTGAAAACTACTCTTGAAAAATAAAATTGGGGCAGGCTCGTGGCATGGTGGTTAAAAGAGCTGGACTCCCACATGGCTGATTGTGGTTCAAATCCCAGACCTGGCAGCTTGCTTTCTCACTCCCCCCCCCCTTGCTCTGTCCCTCTCTGGTCAAATTAAAAATAACTAAATAGTTAAATAAAATAATTCATAAAATTTTTTTGAATAAAATTAAACAAAAGAAAAAGAAAATTGGATGATAAGCAGTTTAAAAATGCAGCCCATAAAAATCAGTTCACCTGAGAAAATAGGGAGCATTGCAAGATATATCAAAACCTTTATTAGAAGTATAATTAGACTAAAAAAACCTGACTTTTCATTTGTGGGATAAGATTAATTCATTTAATGTACATATTAGGTATACAGAATTTCTGCAAAAGCTTCTCTATAACTTAAAATTGCTATGATTGAACAGAAGATCAGATATGCATATGTTTCCAGAATCAGTAGTTCTCACAAGGTAGCTGTGAACTCAGTATCTTTACAAGTATTGGGTCATCAGAAAAGTCATGACATGTTTTTCTTTTTTCCTATGCAAAAATGTGTCATGCCTTTTCCAAGGACCCACTATTTAGTTGATTTCTGAACAGTTTCTTAAAGGGTTATCACCTATCTTGTGAAATAATTAACTAAATAATAACAGCAGGGCACTACACTGATACATTATAAAAATGTAATAAGCCAGTTTTGCCATCCAAGGAAGTACTGTTTGTTGGGGCTAGCAGCTGTAAATATCATTAGTCTGTGAAATAATTTGCTTGTTAAAATTTCTGTCTACAGGTACCAGCAGCTGGCATAATAGCTATGTCGCTGGACCTCCCATGTAGTCAACTGTGGTTCAAGTCCCAGACCTGGGGGCTTAAAGTCACACTGGGCGTGTGTGTACGTTTGCCCAAGATCCCAAGAGGAGAATGGAGAAGGGATTGCAGGGTGGCCATTCCCCCTGGAGGGTGTGGGGGGTGATTTCTCGTTTTCTATCTCTCTGTCTCTCTCTGGCAAGTGCATGCACCCTATAGCAAAAACCTCTAAAAAAAAAAAAAAGTTTCTGGGACCAGCAGTTAGTGTAATGGCTATTTCGGTGGACTCTCACGTAGTCAACCGCGGTTCGAGTCCCGGACCTGGTGGCTTAAACTCACACTGGGCGCGTGTGTGTGCGTGCCCAAGATCCTGAGAGGAGAATGGAGAAAGGATTGCGGCTTGACCATCCCCCCCGGGAGGTGTCTGTCTGGCGAGCATACGTGCCCTATAGCAAAAACCTCTTAAAAAAAAGTTTCTGTCTACAAAAAGTCATGAGAAAACTACCTCACTAAATTAAATTTGCCCATGCCATTTACCTTGAATGTGAAGTAATGAGATTAGGATCATATGTTTACTTTAGATGTGAATTTATTCAGTAAAGGTAATCCCACTGAGAGGAATCCCACTGTGTTGGCCACAGACAGATCTCATCCTAACCTTTGTAAACTGTATTATAAAGATGTACTTCATCAAGAGACCTAGAAGAAAGCATTTAGGATCATCCATCACTGCTTTTTTTTTTTTTGGGAGAGATTTTCACTGTAGGGCGCGTGCGCTCGCCAGACAGACAGAGAGAGACATAGAGACAGAAAGCGAGAAATCACCCCCTAGGGGGGATGGTCACGCCGCAATCCCTTCTCCTCCATTCTCCTCTCGGGATCTTGGGCATGCACACGCGCCCAGCATGAGTTTTAAGCCACCGGGTCCGGGACACGAACCGCGGTCGACTACGTGGGAGTCCAGCGACATAGCCATTACGCTAACTGCTGGTTCCCCATCACTGCTTTTCAAAATAAAACAACTCAATTTACAGATTAATCTCAATTAAAGGGTAAGTTGGTAATCATATTTAAATTCACATAAATTGAAGTCATGATAAAATTACTTGTAACCATTTAATTATTAAAGTTTATTAGGAGTTATCACATGTCAAGGGATTTGATCCTATCCTTTTCAAAAATTAAGTCAAGACCATTTACCATAGTTGACTAAGTAAATGTACACATCTAAATTTCAGGTATTGAGTTGTGTATATATTGGTTTGTTGGAAAAGTCACGATGTGTTTTTCTATGCAAAAATACATCATGACTTTTCTGATAACCCAGCATTTTCAGGTTGCCTCTTTTTTGAGAAATTACAAAATTTCTAATAGTAAAGAAATCTTTTAGTAAACTGTCCAATTATAAACCATGTAATTTTTCTCTTTTCTTTTTGTTTTTCCTTTGACCTGAAGTAGAAGTACAGATAACTAAAGACATGTACTTTTTTTTAATACAGTGTAGAGACTGAAGTTGGTGATTACATGTTCTGTTTTGACAATACATTCAGCACCATTTCTGAGAAAGTGATATTCTTTGAATTAATCCTGGATAATATGGGAGAACAAGCACAAGAACAAGAAGATTGGAAGAAATATATTACTGGCACAGATATGCTGGATATGAAACTAGAAGACATCCTGGTCAGTATAACCTTTGAGTAAAATAATTATCAATATCCAGAGGCCTATGATAGGTACAGAACTAAGCATTTTATCTGCATTATTCAGGAAAATGTGTTTCTAATATTCTACGTACTTACTTATTCTAATTCTTAATTTTGCCATAAAAATTTTGACATCATTTCAAATCTCAATTTAATTTTACCTTATATTCCCATTACCTTCCTCAAATCCTTTATCTCACCAGGATTCTACTATAAAAGTAGTTTTATTCAGAAGATGTACAACTTAAAATACACATCTGGGACCAGCAGTTGGCATAATGGCTATGTTGCTGGACTCCCATGTAGTCGATCACAGTTTGAATCCCGGATCCGGTGGCTTAAACTCATGCCACGCTCATGCATGTGTGTGTGCCCAAGATCCCGAGAGGAAAATGGAGAAGGGATTGTGGCGTGGCCATCCTCCCTAGGGGGTGATTTCTCACTTTCTGTCTTTCTGTGTGTCTCTGTCTTCCTGCCGAGCACACGTGCCCTATAGTAAGAAACTCTCCAAAAAAAATACACATCTAAACTTGTTTTATGAATGTTATATTGGAATATTTTTGTATTATAAATAGATTATAGTTTTGATTGTATGATACATACATCTAAAAATGAGTTTTTCTAATTTCACTGCTATTTTGTGAGGTAAGAACACTGGATGTTTTGCTAGGTACTAAATTGGCCAGACTAACATTCAAAGAAGAAAATATAAGAAATCCAGGGCATTATGATAGCTAAATTCCTAAAGGTCAGTATCAGTTGAGTTTTTTTAAAACTTAAACCATTTTATGGGAACCAGCAGTTAGCGTAATGGCTATGTCGCTGGACTCCTACGTAGTCGACCACGGTTCGCGTCTCGGACCCGGTGGCTTAAATCTCACGCCGGGCGCGTGTGCGTGTGTGCCCAAGATCCCGAGAGGAGAATGGAGGAGAAGGGATTGCGGCGTGACCATCCCCCCTGGGGGGTGATTTCTTGCTTTCTGTCTCTATGTCTCTCTCTCTGTTTGTCTGGCGAGCGCACGCGCCCTATAGCGAAAAAAAACCTCTCCAAAAAAAAAACTTAAACCATTTTATTAAGGCTGTTAGGGCTAAGAAAGAGATAATATGTATAAAGTTCCAGGGGCTATGCCTGGAATTAACAAACTAAAATAGTTTCATATTACCTTCATACTTAGTTCATAGTAACTTTGTTTCTTTATTAAATACCTATTTATAAATAATAACTTAAATATGCCAGAACTATTATATAACCTTACAGAGGCTCTTTCAGAAGCATAAGTGCTACGTATCCCTTCATCAGTGAATTATGTACCCATCTGTCTGGAAAAAAAATTAACATGATGTACATTTTTAAATTTAGTTAACATTTTTGAGCATTCTTTCATAATAAAGTAATTTTATTTATCTCTAGGAATCCATCAACAGCATCAAGTCCAGACTAAGTAAAAGTGGTCATATCCAAACTCTGCTTAGAGCATTTGAAGCTCGGGATCGAAACATACAGGAAAGCAACTTTGATAGAGTAAATTTCTGGTCTATGGTTAATTTAGTGGTCATGGTGATAGTGTCAGCCATTCAAGTTTATATGCTGAAGAGTCTATTTGAAGATAAGAGGAAAAGTAGAACTTAAAACTCTAAATTAGAGTACTTAAAATGGGAAAGAGGCAGAAAAATGCAATAAACTGTTACAGTCAAGACCATTTAATAGTATTTTCCAAAATGTTTTCACACATTCTAAGTGTGAAACAAGTATACATTTGATGTGAAAGGGAAGTCCTCACTTTCTGTGCAAGTAACCTTACTCATTTATTCTTAAGTCTATAACAGGAGTATTATACAGAATATAGGTTTAATTGAATGAACCCATTTTAATAACTGTGTTTTCCTATATTTGAAAAAATGTACAAACGTCATAGAAGAAATGGATATTGGGCCTAAATGCAATACCAAGTAACCTGTTTAAAAGATTGTTTAAAATGTTGTCTTACTCAGACATTTGGCAATTACAAATTAACTGTAGAAGATGTCAATATATTGTTATAAATCATCTTAGAATTACCTATAGATGAATGTATCTTTAGAAGACAAAGGCTTAATTTTTCGTAAGTATCTCTCCTATAATAGAAGCATAGCTTTCAGATATAAAGATTTTTGAGATTTTTTTATACACAACTATATATTTCATTATAGATTATTAACAAAAAGTTTAGTTTTATATACTTAGCCTACATTTCAAAAAGCTGACATTCTTAAAAACACAAAGTTATACTTTTCTCAATGATATTAGAACAAGTGTTGGGCCAGCTTGTGGCTTAGTAGTTAAGCTAGAATCCACATGGCCTACTGTGTGGTTGGATTCCCACTTGAAAATTATGCCAGGCAAGTGTGGGCACATGCCCAAAACCCTGAAAGGATGGAGAGAAATGGATTTTGGCATGACCACGCCCCATTGAGGGGTGTTTTCTTCCTTTCTCTCTTGTCTCTAGCAAGCACACAAACCCTCTGGCAAATTAAAAAAAAAAAAAAAAACAAGTTTTCCCTTTGAAGAATATAAAGTTTACTCAGTCTCCATAAGGACACATTCTGGGGGCCAGCAGATGGCATAGTGGTTACATTGCTGGGCCTCCTGCATAGTTGACCGCAGTTTGAGTCCTGGACCCAGCGATTTGAATCTGAACACCTGGCCCGTGTTTATGCAAGCCCAACATCCCAAGAGGAGAATGGAGAGGGGATTGTGGGTTGCCCATCCCACCTCCAGTGATTTCTCACTTTCCCTCTGTCTTTCTAGGGAACACACATGCCCTACGGCAAAAACCTCTTAAAACAAACCATATTCCTTCTAATCCTTAAGTCTGGGATAGAATTTTAAAATTAATAGTGAGGTAAAATAAGTCTTTCTATGTCACTTGTTAATGTTCATTTTAACATGATTACTGATTTGGATATTATATTATTACTGGCAGTTGTGAAGGAAATACTGATGAAAGGATCTGGATCTATGTAAATAAAAATCCCCTCTTCTAAATTCTTAAAATTAACAGAAATAAGAAGAAACTTAGGTAAACTTGAGAATACCTAATCCAAAATAAAGTTCACTTAAATAAAACTATAATTAAGTACCTGGAATATGATTGGTTCATGATCTCCCAATTCTAATATAAGTCATTGGAGATTAATTTCCAGTGAATTGGAAGAAGCTGTATTTGGCTGTGGGTGTAATTTTCTACAATTACGGTTTTGAACTATCTTTTTTAAAGAATTCAGGTACATTTTATAAGATGTAAACCCTACTATGTTTAGCACTGGGTGTACATATTTATTAGTTTTTATGACTTTCATAATATGGCTTTTCTGATTATTTTATTTATTGACATTGATGTGAGGATTGAAAATCAGAGTCCCAAATTATAAACACTCAGTATGTGAATAACCCATATGTATATAAAAAGTTTCTGCTTTTCTAGATTATAATCTGTGTAGTCTTAGTCAAGTACTAATAATTTAATTTCATCATGGATTAGAATTTTTTAAGTTCCAGCCATTTGTGATACTGTTTATGATAAATATATTTTTAAAAATAATCAACTTTAAAATATTGGTGTAGAACCCATCTATCAGTTAGTACTGCTGGTATTATTGATAACTAGTAATGTTATCTATAAAGATTAGTGCATTCATTTATAATTTTCACTTAAAGTGGTACAGAAAGATACATCCACGTCCCCCCACCATCTTAGGCCCCTGAGAGAACAGGAGCTTTAGATTTCCCCTCTTAGAGATATTTTTAAAATGAGGAAAATGCCTTATCACTTTCCCTAATTGAACAAGAAAACGCTTTAGGTGTCTAGGAGTGGCCTCTGTCCCACCTAAAGAACAAGGGCTAATATGATCATTGTCTCTTCCCCTTTCTGTTAAATTCATAATGACAGGCAAACTTTCAGTACCATAATTAATAAAGCCGGGTACAGATATAAGAAACTACTGCATCTTTTCTATGAAACTGTGATTAATAATTCTACCTCTTATGGACAGCTATTACTGCACTGTACTCTGATTCCTTATCTAATTTGTTCCATCATCTTCTGTTCGGTCTTTGGGAAAGTCATGATGCATTTTTGCATAGAAAAACAGAAAAATACATCATGACTTTCCTGACAACCTAATAAACACACAGTCTGCGCAAACTATTTTAATCCTATCATTTAGTAACTTATGTAAAAAATATCAATGGCTTTATTTGGAAAACTGAATTTTGGAATATTAAGAACAATTTTATTTTTGTAGACACCAGGTAAAAAGAGATATTTAAGAAGCACGTTACTGGTCTGCCCCCGTAACCTAGTGGTTAAGGGAGCGGAGTCCCATATGGTTGACCGTGATTTGAATCCTGACCCTGACAGCTTAACATGAGTGCCCCAGATCCCAACAGGATATAGAAATGGAGGAGAATGTACTGCAGCATGATTCTCCTGACCCCACTGAGGGTACTTTCTTCCACTCCTCTGTCTCTCTGCCAAGAGCATGCACCCTCTGGCAATTACAGGGAAAAAGAGGGGAGAGTGGGCAGGCAGCAGTATATTAACTATAATTAACAAAAATAGAAATTAAAATAATTTATAAACAATAGAAATTTGTACTATTTCTAATGACATAGTTTATCTGTTTCTTTATCACTTAACACTGATTATGGTCTTGGGTTTTTAATTTTATAAACTGTTAAAATAATACAGTATTTAAGGCCTAGATATTGCTGTGATTTCTATTTGGTTCATTAATAATGTGCTAGTCTGTTATGTGAATGTCAAGGTATGGAAAGTAAATAAATGTTTGAAAACAGCACTGAAATAGAAATTCAAATTAAAATGTAACTTTTAAAGTGTATCTAACCTTCTTAAACATTTGTCTTAATATTGACAAAAATTGAGTACCTGTAATTGTATCCTTCCTCAAATGAAAATTTTTGAACTTTTAAAAGGAATTGATTCAGCATGAAATGATTTTCATTTGGAGTATAATAATGTGCAATCAGTGTTGCTCAAATTGTTTTATACTTGTGAAAAACAGTCATCTTAAACTAGTAATGGACTATGGGAATTGAACAGAATATAAATAAAAATGGCTATCAAAGAAAATTATTGTAAATGCTGTCTACTTCTTAAAGCCTTCCTCTATCTCAATCTTAAATGTGCTCTCCTCTCCCATTTTGAAAACACATAGCTCCCTGCACTTACTGTGTATACATGATTTTACTTTGTATGATTTTGGTTACTTATGTATTTATTCAGCTATTGTCTGATCATTTAGAGAGTAACTAAAGGGTACCCAGAGTATATAGAGGCAAAGATCATCACTCCTCAGTTTGGAATACTAAGTATTCAAGGAGGTTCTTCCACGTCTCTCTCCCTCCCCAGAAATTATTTTGTTTTTATTTGTGGTGTGTTGGGGAGGGGTAGTTTTAGACAGGGTCTTGTGGTGTTGCTGTCTTCCTGACCCAGCCTCCTAAGTAGCTGGGCCCAGTCACATGCCACCATGTCCACCTCTTTCACAGACAGGGTTCTCACTATGTTGGTCTTGCTGTCACCTATATTGGCCAAAAACAAGCTCAAGATCCTTCTGCCTCAGTTCTCAAATAGCTGGGACAACAGGCATGCACCAATGCATCCAGTTATTTAGGGTGAGTCAGGAATTGAACCTAAGGCTCAGCCTGTTAAGCAGCAGCATCCAGCATATGTTACAGTAGCTGGGCCCAGAAATTGATTCTTTAGGCCTGGAGTAAGCTCAGGGTAACAAAATTAAGAAATTTTTAAGCAACAAAATACAGAATTCTGTTAATTATCCTTGGGTCATTTTCTAGTTAGCTGATCTTGGGAAATCAAAACTCCTTTAGCCTATTTCATTTGTAGAGATAAATAACATCTTAAAATTAGAATATTTAAAAAGTGCAGCACTTGGTATAGGTTGGTGTTTTATTAGTATATTGGTCATTTTCTTTATACAAACTAGACAAGTTACTCACCGCACAAGCTAGTGGAAATCCTATGCACCTTTCTGCTTCTGCAGTCCCTTCACCTTTAAGTGTCTGAAAGGCTTAATCATAAACTATAGCCATAGCCATAGTATACCTAAAATATGTCCAAGGGATGAGCACAGATTAAGAAATCTGTACCTACAATGATCTTATATAAGAGGGCACATCAAGATGGACTCTGGGGGACCAGCAGTTAGCGTAATGGCTATGTCGCTGGACTCCCACGTAGTCGACCGCGGTTCGAGTCCCGGACCCGGTGGCTTAAACTCACGCCGGGCGCGTGTGCGTGTGTGCCCAAGATCCCGAGAGGAGAATGGAGGAGAAGGGATTGCGGCGTGGCCATCCCCCCTGGGGGGTGATTTCCTGCTTTCTATCTCTCTGTCTCTCTCTGTCTGTCTGGCGAGCGCACGCGCCCTATAGCAAAAACCTCTCCAAAAAAAAAAAAAAAGATGGACTCTGGATCCCTGCATCTGGAAAAAAAAAAAAAAAAAGGCAGGGCAGAGAAGAAATCTGGAGGTTTGAATGAAGATGTAATAGGGTTTTTTTTCTTTTTTTGGAGAGGCTTTTGCTATAGGGCACATGTGCCCACCAGACAGACAGAAGGTGAGAAATCATCCCCCGGGGACATGGCCATGCGACAATCCCTTCTCATCCATTTTCCTCTCAGGATCTTGGGCATGCATGCGCACACACACACGCACCTGGCCTGAGTCTTAAACCACCGGGTCCAGGACTCCAACTGCAGTCGACTACATGGGAGTCCAACGACACAGCCATTAACACTAACTGCTGGTCCCAAGATGTAATCATTTTAAAAACAAAATGGGCCAGTGGTTAAGGGACTAGGATCCTATGTGGCTGACCATGGTTTGAATCCTGGAGTGAAGTGTACATAGGTGCAAAATCCTGAGAAAATGGGGAAATGGAGAAGGGATTTCAGTGTGGCCACTCCCCACTGGGAGTTCCCTCCCTCCCAACCCCCATCTCTGGGGAAAATATGCACCCTCTGACAATTAAAAAAATGGCTTAGGGGCAAGCAGGTGGCATAGTGGTTAAGGGTGCTGTACTCTCAAATGGCTAACCGCAGTTTGAGTCCCAGACCTGGCAGCTTGCTTTCTCACTTTCCCTCCCCTCCCTCCCTCTCTGGTCAAATTTAAATAAAGTTCAAATAATTCTTTAAAAATATGTTGGGACCAGCAGTTGGCTATGTCGCTGAACTCCCATGTAGTCGACCACAGTTTGAGTTCCGGACCTGGTGGCTTAAACTCACACCGGGCACGTGTGCATGCATGCCCAAGATCCCAATGGAGAAGGGACTGGCATGCTCATCCTCCCTGGGGGATGATTTCTCGCTTTCTTTTTCTGGAGAATGCA